CTGGAGGGTTTTTGAGGCAGCGAAGGCGCGTTTAGCGTTCAGGACTCTGATGAACAGGACCAGTGACAAGAAGAATAGACCTCATTCTCTCTCCTGATCGTGCTCCAGGCATCCCGTTCCAGATGCAATCGGGCTTTAGGAGGCTGGTCAAAGCCCCCATTGTCCTCTCAAGACAAGCACACATGTGTGTGTGGCCGTCCATCACCAACAACCTCTCTTTGGAAGCAGAGCTAAAGCAAAAGGATTCGGCTGATGGGCCGATTCATGGCAGTTCAGTTGAACGACAGCTTCTGAACCACATAAGACATTTAAAAAGCTGACTTTTTGCTGGCATTTTTATCCCGACATGATTTTGGGATTTAAGCTGGACCATTCTCAAGGAAGAGCTAAATGCTTGGGGACTATATCTTTAATACATATATACATATGTCGTTTATTTTGATTGTGATGTTTCATTGTCATTTTATGATATTTTATGATTTTGTAAGCTGCCCCGAGTAGACGCTGTCTAGGGGGGCAGGGTATAAATCGAATGAATGAATAAATAAAACAATAAATTTATTATCTCTACTGTGTACTGTTGAAATAATATTGTTATCCTCCTCAGGTGAACTTTTAGAAGAAATAAATGCTACTTACAAATAAGTAAAGGATATCTAAAGACATAAACAGGACACTTTTTTTCATATCTTGGCATTCAGGCCTCCAGTTCAGTAAGAGGATTCTGTGAGTGGTGGTTATCTCCTCCTTGCATGTAGGTGTGTTGTCTTGGCTACAACCGGCACTCATTCTTGACAGAGTGAATGGTTATTCTCATGGAATCTAATGATATATTTAAGCCTTTTCATCCAGAACAGGCCTTTTTCTGAATGAAAGGACCCTCCAAATTGTCATTTCCTTTAAATACACAGACTGCATATTCTAGGATTTTTAATATCTCTCTCTCTCCAGTGGAAGCAGGTTTATTGAAACCAAGCATCCATGGTTGTTGCTGTTTCTTTCTTATATTGTTCATTTTGTAGGAAGCTTGTAGGAATCATATTTTACTTGTATCTTTTTCATTAATTAAGCCAGGACATTAAACCAATTAATGCTGCCATAATGGAAAAAGACAATTTCTTGCCCCTTAAGTAATCCTATATACAGGTCTACTCGGAAGCTGTATGAGGACTGCACCAGGTAAGTGAACACAGGATGGAAACCTGTTCCTTCCTTCCTTCCTTCCTCCCAGCTGTGCCACAGGATGGAAACCTGTTCCTTCCTTCCTCCCTCCCAGCTGTGTGGGCTCTGACCAAGGTTGTTTGCTCCAACATTCAGTTCTATCAACTCAGTGATCTGACAGCAGGCCATAAGTCCAACCTTGCTCCTGTCTTTCATTTCCCAGGAGCTAGCACCGAGAGGCACATTGTCGCTCTTACTGGACCATCTTGATTAGCAAGACCACTGATGGCCCAAACGTCTACGATTTCATCTAAATCCCTCTTAAACCCATATAAATTCATAGTCGTTTTAATATCTTGTGGCACTGATTTTCTGTGTCAATGGGCATTGTGGGGGGGGGGGAAGTACTTCCCACATACTGTATTGCAGAGACCCCCAGAAGGCTGCTGCATGTCTCTGTGCAGAAATCAATACTTTATAATTGGCCATGTGGTCCACAAGGGTGGGCTTTGCGCCATAAGTCACTAGGATTCTACACTGCACAGGAAACCTCCACAAGCACAAAAGGCTTCCCCACGGCAGAGGTTAACTCTAAATGGAAATCCTCATGATGCTCATAGAGAGGGTTAGAGGTAGCCTGCATGCCCTGCTTTCCCCCCATGCCTGCATGTATTAGGACCACTTGCACAGGAAAGCCGTGCTATTGAGTGGTCTTTGCTGTTCTCTAAAATTCAGAGTACAGTATTAACATGACACTGGCCAGGCAGATTGGTGTTGCCGGCTTGATGGGTGAAGAGGAACCATTCTCTTCCACTTATTTCAGCTGCCAAGGGCTTGAAGAATGACATAGCTAGACCTGGCATTTGACCAAGCCCGGTGCCCCAGGCACGGCAGTCTGCTGAAACACCTGCCCCTCAATTTGTCTGCACCGGCTGGATGAAACAAACAAATATTCCCTTAGGTTGAACACGCAGGTGGAGGGGGAAAAACATGCTTGAATCAATAATTCTGTTGCCAAACTTCTGAACCATAGAGGAAGAGATCATTAGCAAGTTGTGTGAAGAAAATGGGAACTTGGTATGTTTAGTCTGGAGAAAACACTGAGGAGAGACAGGGAAGTATTATTCAAATCTTGGAAAGACCTTCCTATGAAAGTGGGCAAAGACTTGTTCTCTGTTGTCAAAGAAAGAGCACAGAGTACCAGCACCAGGGCTCCAAGCACCAACAGGATGAGGCCTTTTAATTACAGTATAAGAGATTATGACATCATCAGTCATGATCACCTCAGGACTCCCATTCCCTTCATCTTAACTGCAGTCCTTACAGTAGCTAGAGGGAAAATGGATTTTCCCACTGACAATATATTTTGATGACCTATTTGCCTGATGTTAGGAAAGTGTGAAGGCAAGAGGAGAAGGGGACTACAGGAGATTATTGCACAGTGTCATTGAAGCGACCGACATGAATTTTACCCAACTCCGGGAGGAAGTGGAAGACAGGAGGGCCTGGCGTGCTCTGGTCTGTGGGGTCGCGAACAGTCGGACACGACTAAATGACTAAACAACAACAATTTGCCAGTTGCAATGGAAAGTACTTACAGTGCTGATCGAATTGTTGCTGCCGCTGACGACGACCACTAGGTAAGCCTCCCGGAGCTCAGCACCACAGAAGGGCAACCTGAAGAAAAGTCCTTTGCTGAGGATCCATCCAAATGCAGAAGGTAAGCCTCCCGGAGCTCAGCACCACAGGTCAACCTGAAGAAAACTCCTTTGCTGAGGATCCATCCAAATGCAGAGCGACCCCTGATCTACTCATTAAAGGAACTGGATTGTAAGGGTTCTAATCTTAGGAAAAGGTGGGCTAAGAGAAGAGGAATGGGCGAAAACGGGATCAGGGGAGGCAGGAGGGGTGTTGCATATTTTTTTTACATTCCTCATGAGTCACGTAAGGATGTAAGTTCATTGCCCAATATCGAGGCTATTACCCTGGACAAGGAAGCAGAGACCATTTCTAGACGGTCTGCTGGAATCTAGTTTAGCTGCCACTAAATTTCATTACCATCTCATTTGGAACTTGTCGGATAGCCTGTTCTTGGTTTTAGTCCAGATGTTAATGGACAGGTGTCCATATCACGCTGTCGGCAGGCACACGGGGCACGTAGAAGCAAGATCTGTTGCGTTCAGCAGGGCCTAATCTCTGGCCAGTGGCCCAACCGTTGCAGCAGAAGGAAGGCAACTGTAGCATCAGCAGAGACAATTCTGAAACCGGTGTCACGTGTGTTTACCTAAACAAGCCATTAATTATGACATGAAATGGTTGCAAATGTCTTCAGACCAGCTGGCAATTTCAAGGTGGCCCACGATGGAGATTGTAAAACAGGAAAATGTGGAAACGGTTCTCCTAAATGACCGAAAACAAGGAACTAAAATTTGTTCAGTCGTATTGCACAACAGAGTATCTCAGGGCCACCTTTAGAGCCTGTCTCTGTAACTGCTGTGTGAGATTGTCTCTGTCTGTTAACAATGAATGGTACCTCGCCCACTTGCTTGGAGCAAGTAGCCAAGGATGGAGGAAGTGTGGTTTGTTTTAAGATTACCCGGTGAACTTCAGGGGAATTTGAACTTGTCTCTCCTGTCCCTCTCTATCCACCATAAACTGTCCCAGGAAGCTAACCTGGGGTTCCCCCCCCCCAAAAAAAGGCAGGGAATTAGTGGTTATTATTTTATTTCTACTACTATCAACAGGGAAAGGCATCAGAGTTCTTCATCGACACAGGATGCTGGGCCTGGAAATCCGTTCCCGTTTGATGTGTTAGTCGTCACTCTTTTACGGACTTACTTCACATGTCAAAATGATTACCCTGGCTTTGGATATCAATCCCCTTGACTTTATGGGGGGGGCACCGTCTACTGCTGCACCTCCGGGCGACCCTAAGACCCGAGGTGGCCAAGGATCAGGCGATCCATGGCCACTGGGCACAAGGACTGCAGGAAGCCTCCATGTCCAGAGGCAGTGTATCTTAGTTGCGTGTATACGCCTGGGTATAGCTGGAGAGGGCAGCCGCCCTGGTGCCCTGTTGGAGATGGGCCTTTATGGTGTGGCCCCACCAGGGCAGAGGTGGGAGAAGGTGGGGGGGTCGGCATTTTGCCGCCTGAGGCCGGGAAGAGACAAGATGGCGGCCTCCTGCATATAAAAGCCAGGCCAAGCCGCCCCTGAAGGGGCACCCCCACCCCCATCCAGCGGGCAGCCCGAGGGCAGGCCGGCCGCCCCTCTGGCCTCACGAAAGAGCCGGCCCTACCCTAAGGGGAAA